GCAAGATTGGAAACAATCCTTGAGTGCATAGCAGAGCTTGAAAACAGCTCATTATTTAGTTACACAAGATTACCTCAAAATTGCAATTACAGAAGTTTGGGCTGAAAAGCCACAAGTGATGTCCAAACATACAGAAACCCCTCAATAAGATATGATGTGAATCGGAAAAAGGGGGAAAATTACAATTGATGAACACTACGCAGCTGCAGAATTGCCCATTGATTCCAAACAAGATCTGAACAATTTCACTGTCAATATATTTTTACAACCAGCTGCCTTCCCAAATGGAGTGACTACTTCATCTGCTCCCTATTTATTCTAATACCACCCTCATAAACAATGCAATCTAACACAAAAAGTTACTTTATCTTGTATGTTCTTGAATGTTCTTGTATGTTCTTGCAGTTAGTAAAAAGAGCTAGCTTCCCAACTCCAAAATCAAATATATTGCGTTCATTCAGTAATGACTGGACTCCTATGCACAATCAGAAGTCTTACAGATTGGTCGACGCATAATATTTCCAGGCGTTTATGAGAATCCGCTTCCGTTTAACTCAGCATTAGCATGGAAAGGAGACAAATGCTCCCCTGAATGAGATGACTTACGGGATTTCAGGTGCCCTGGAGAAGCAGAATATGAATCACTGGAACTGAATGTAGAATACATTGATGATGTTGGGAGTCCATGGATCCTTGGTAATCCGGTTGGATCGGCACCGACGTTGTATCCCTTTTCAACTGTTTCAGCCTCCAAAGGCAATTCATCCAGTGTCTGCAATCATGATATGTTCATATATATCTTCATTCGTGCTAATGTCATGATCAAACAGCATACTGAACTGAACAATTATTTCAATAGGAACCATGATAGAATCCTCAATAAAATTTGTTCTTTAGTCGTCAATCTTCTTAATATTTATTGTCTCGTGCCCCTTGGTTTTTTTGTTTCGTGAATAGTTCGTCTAATTATGAATCCATCTCTCTTGAGCTTTATTGAAAATAATAATACAGGAAGAATACAAAGTAATAGAAGTTTCAGATAGCTAAAGAACAAAAATTGTAACGCCCAGGCCCAAGCCCACCGCTAACAGATGTTGTCCTCTTTGAGTTTTCCCTTTCAGGCTTTCCCTCAAAGCTTTTAAAACGCGTCTACTAGGGAAAGGTTTCCACACCCTTATAAAAGGTGTTTCGTTCTCCTCCCCAACCAATGGGGATATCACAAAATGCAGAAAACCAATAAAAGATTAAGGTTTCTCATTGTATATTATTCATATTTTTGCTTAGTTTGTATCTTTCGATCTTAGTCTATTGTCATTTTTTTCTTGTTAAAAATATAAAACGACACAAGCATCGCCACTTGTCATGTGACCAGGAAAATCATACCCGAAAAGCTTGTTGAAGTACACGGAGAGTTTCCCTCGTACGCTTCCTCTTCATTGCCACTTCATCGGGCTCCTGCAACATCTCTTCAAACAGGTTCTCTCTGTTTTACAATATTACACCAAAACATAGAACACTTAACAAAACAAA